AGTCTCACTAGGTGCTTCGTCGTGAACGCCCACAATCACTCTCCAGCCTGGTGCTGGCAGAAAACATCAGCCTCGCACTGCTGGGCCTCCACACAAACAAATACAAAGGTAGCTAACACTTGGCAGGAGCTTCTTGCAACTCGCTGTATACACTCCTCCGTAGCACCTTACTGTCAGTCTTTTCTTCCGCGAGCTAGTTCCGGGATACGCTGAATTCCGTCACTTCCACTTCACAGGCAGACAGTAGAACGCTTCACAGTTCTTTTTCGGTGGCGGCTCAATGCTTCTGTAAAGCAGAATGGAATGGAGAGATATTGGCTGCCCTGGGTAGACTGATTGTCCTCGTACCACAGCAGCCCTATGTCGACTCTGTGGAAACAGACACGTCATCAGTACACTGGTCAGTACATAGGACACTAGGAAACATCACTTACTGACTCTGACATAGACATACAACTCCTCCTACAATAGATGGTGCTGCATTTCTAGGCGCCACCTCACCAGAGGTCAGCACCAGCTACCTCTCGGGCTGACTAGGACAGGAATCTAGCGCCTCTTGCTGGTATCTTCCTGTCACCACCAGATGGCGTCGTCCAAGTTGTGGGGGGGGGGGGCTTTGGGAGCGGACTCACATATGGCATTGACGTTGCTGCTCCGTGCTCCGACGATGGTTCGTAACAGGTATCATTGTGTCTGCTGTCATTTACCTAGACAACACTTGCTGTATCACCTTGTTCCAGGCTCTGGCTTTCTGGACCTGATGATATCTGCTTCCACAGGATATCGAGAATATGTTCCTGGGAATTCTTGATTTGAATTGAGATCGCCACAGTAGCTGGTGATCTCAAGTTCCGTTTGCTTGCATATTATTTGTATAACAAATGGATGATTCCGTATCACCAGATCAAGTATGATTGTGATAAGAGTCAGGGTGAGGTCCTCCTGGGTGACAGGTGGTGGGCTGGATTGTGGGGTAGAGTGGGTGCCTGGTGTGCTTGGAGGGGGAGGTGGGTTGGAGAGGTCTGGTTCAGAGGAAGGGGGTGATGGGAAGGGCCTTTAGGGATTAGGGAGTGGGGTATGATTGGGTGGGTTTCCCGGTGGAAGGGGAGGTGGGTAGGCCTCAGGGAGGGGGAGGGGGGGGGGGGGGCTGGGGCCTGCCCCACTCATGCCCCAGGCCGAGGCGTGAGCAGGGTGATGGAGCTCCGGTCCGGGCCCCTCCAGTCACCGGATCACCTGTGACCTAAGGGGTCGTTATTTTTGGGCCACGCCATGCAGGCCTCTATATGCAGTGCCAGTTCCAGGCGTGGTGGGGTTGCCTGCAGTCGACACGTTTAGGTGTTACTGGGTTCTTATCCCTAATCTTCTGCAGACATAGCTTAGTGTCGTGGAGGCCACTGCAATACCCACACCTAGTTCCGTCAGCGCACTGCCAGGTTCTGTGTGTCCACCGTTGGCACTTGCCACATAAGGCTGGGCTGCCAATATACCGATCCATTCTGCAAGGCCTTATACCCGGTATCGTAATGAAAGGGGTCAGCTCTCCCTCCAACATAGCAATTGCTTAGTTTTTTGGTACTCCCCACAGGTCCCATGTTGTGCCTGACCCAGATGATCTGGGGGTGGTCTTAAATATACTCAATATCAGCATGGATATCATAGTTCTTAATAACGACTTTGGTCCGTCTAGGCTGTAAGCCTGCATGCAACAGGTTAAACCTCTTACCTCCGTACTCTTGTTCTACCTCTGTGTACAACTTCATGGCTCTGTCACCACACACCTGCATAACAACATTGCTTCCTGCAATCTTGCTTTCAATGCGGTGTTCTTTGTTGGTGTGGGTGGCCTTGATGATCCATTTAAACTTATCTTCTGGTCTCATATCTCATGGAGAAAAGATTAGGGTTTGCCACTGACCACTCTCGTCTTGCTGTTGTCGGTGTTGTTGCTGCCGCTGTTGTGAGTCATCCATACGCTTCATGTTTGCCTTGTCCCGTCTTCTACCCATTTTGGATCTGAATAATAAGTATTCACCTTCCTCTTCCGATGCGGTGTCTCTCCCATTATCACTGTTGTTGGGCCCTTGGTCTAGGCCAGTAGCTCCACCCATGCTGGAGGAGTCTGGGTGGCTAGACTCCCCCAGGCTGAAAGGGTTGGTGCTAGCCGTGCTGGCCTCTTGCTGTTGTTGTCTCGACTGACTTCTCGTTACACGATCCATCTATTTGCTGCGGCTCATTTCATATGTGTTCTTGGGTGGTATGTCTTCAACAATGCACTCTACTCTGCACACACATACCCATATAGACATCGCAAGGCACTGTGCTTACAGTTCTCACACGTAGTGTAGGGGCACTATACAGTATAGGGGTGTCCTGGCGGTCTCTCGTGTAAACAGCAGTCGCACACACAAACCGCGACCTTGGGTAGGGAGGTCATAAGAACTATTTTACACAGGAGTGGTGCCTGGGGCGGCCAGGTAGTAGCTGGTGACCCACCTCCTTACACTGCTCCCCTCAGTGATCGTGTATCTCACAACATAAGTAATTACTGCTTTGATTTCTGGCTAATCCACACATCCACGGCCTACCACAGTTGGTAGGAGGAGCGTTGACTTGGTACCGCTGCAGCTGATCTATTTGGCGCACTTAAGACTAACCCTTAGGCCTAGGCCTGTGTCAAAAGGCAGGACGAGTACATCCTGATCTGCTCCTCCTCCTCTGGCTGGAGGCACACTGGCGGCTGTCCTTGTCCAACTCGTCAGTTCCCTTCAGTATCTTGTACATTGTTGACTTATTTCTATTTATTCTGTTCTCTAAGGTTGTGAGATCCGGTTCCTTCAGCCTCTCATCATAACTTAATCCTCTGAGCTCTGGCACTAGTCTAGTTGCAAACCTCTGCACTTTTTCAACTTTAGTTTTAAGTTTCACAAGATCAGTGCTGCATGTGCTGAATTGTGCAGTCAATGCTGCATTCCAGACTATTGTTGCATGTCCCAGTACAGGTCTAACAAAAGCTCGTAGATTGCTTTGAACGTGTCCTGATTTCGGTTTCTAAAAGACGTTCTAAAGTTTGCCGGCATCCCATATGCTCCCGATGTCGCCCTGCCTTTGTCTGCCTCTGGTGTTAGTGATGGAATTTTATCCACTCCCAATTCTCTTTCTCTGTTAGATTCCTGGAAATTTCTCCCATTAATGGTGTAGACACCTCCTGGTCTACTTTCTCCCTTCTCCGTCTTCATTACCTAACATTTATTAGGATTGAACTCCAGCAAACACTTTTTTGTCCACTCCTAGAGTTTGTTTAGGTCATCTTTCAACATTTTGCAGTCCTCCTCTGTTTTTACAGTCTTCATTATTCTGGCATCATCCACAAACATTAACGTGTACGAGCTCATTCCCTTGGTAGATCATTAACATAAATGAGGAACAGTAGTGGTCTCAGGACCAATCTTTGGGGGACTCCATTTGTTTCATTCCTCCAGCTGGAGACCTCGCCTCTGTCTTTGTCTTTTGTCCTTCAGATATTCCGTTATCGAGTTTATTATCTTCACAGTTATCCCAGCTTGTTCCTCAATCTTGTACACTAGCTTTTCATGAGGAACAGCATCAAAAACCTTTTCAAGGTCAAGGAAAATGCAAGGTACCCAGCCTTCTTTTTCTTGTTGTATTCTAGTAACCTTGTCGTTAAACTCGATAATGTTTGTCAAGCAAGACTTTTTATTTCTAAATCCATGATGCCGTTATGTTACAAAGTTTATCCTCTATAGATGCTCCATTTTTTCGACCTGATTACTTTCTCTAGCTTATTGCAAGGAATACTTCTCAGTTACAGTGGTATTTAACTTAATGCTTCCTTCTTTATCTTTTCTTGAATATTGGTACAATATATGCTTTTTTTCTATACTTCTAGAATAATTCCTGTTTCGAGTATTTTAATAAAAAACTCAGTTGGTGGGTGACATAGCACCTCTGCAGCCTCCTTCAGTATCCATGGTGATACTAAGTGTGGCCCAATTGATTGTGTTGCATCTAATTCCTTCAAATTCTTTCTAACCTCTTCCACTGTGACTACTATGTCATCTAGTGTTACCTCTGACCTTTCATCCATCAAATCTTCTCTCCACAATGGTTCCAATTTAAAGACATCCCGAAATCTTTTATTTAGTTCCTTACACACCTCCTTGTCGTTTTCCATGAGCTTTCCTCTTGCCTCTTTAAGCTTCATAACGTGCTCTTACTGCAGTTTTTCTCCTTATATGGCTGTAAAAGAGCTTTGGTTGGACCTTGCTCTTGCTGCTATGTATCAAAGCACGGAGACTTCGCCTTCAAATATTCTTAACAGTTCATGGAAATTTCTAAAGTATTGCAATAGAAATCATTCCAGAACTAAATCAATCGTCATTCCAGGAACGGTTGAGGGTCTCAGGACTAACAACACTATAGACCCAACACGACAGGACTGATCTTGTCGAAACCTTCAAAATACTTAACAGATTGAAAAAATACAAGGACTTCAGACCACTTCCTTAAAATATGGAATGTAACTCGCACACAGGGCAACAGCTTGAAGGCCAACAACCCGCAATGTACGACACATTGTGACACAATCGACTTAATAATGGTCCAGGACGGACCGAAACGTCGTCGTCTCTTCATCTTCAAGTGTGTGGTTTGGTCTCCACAGTTGATTGATATATTAATATAACTAAATCTTTGGATCATTAAATGGAATCGAACTGCTGTTTAATTTTCACAGCTCATTACACACAGAAATCACAATAGAGTGATGCATCAAATGAACAAATCCACAAGGGCCGTGACGAGGATTCGAACCTATGTCCGAGAGCATCCCAGACGCTGCCTTACACACCTCCCCTTAAGGCAGCGTCTGGGATGCTCTCGGACATAGGTTCGAATCCTCGTCACGGCCCTTGTGGATTTGTTTCACAGCTCATATCAATAATTCTGAATGTTTTGTTATTGGTTCACCTTCCGCACATTACCATAGCGAAGGTGTTGTGTATGATGTATAGGATGCCGCTCATGGTGCCGAAGGCAGCATGATTATGCTGGAGCACGTCTCTGATGGCTCGGGGAACGTCAGAGTGGATGACAGCTTGTTTCTTGAAACGGTACAGTGTCGACCCCGGCTCTGCTTTCTGAAACCGCCCAAAATTTAGCATTAATTGTACCTGCGCACACATTTGATTGACCGCAAATACCGAAATATTAATGATATTAATAATATTTCTATATTATATCTATATAATAATATATTAATATTAATAATGAAATATTAATATCTGTCGAATTTTATTAGCATTCATCTAGCGTAGTTTTTTGGGGAGGGGGGGAGGTGAAAAAATAAATAAAATTTTTATAAAATGTAATGGAAATCTGGTTTTCACAGAGGCAGTAAATAAAGGATGGCAGCAATCATAATATATTATAACCTAAGTTGTTTGTTAAAGTGTATGTCATGAATCTTGCCTCCGTCAAGCGTCAAGGTTCTTGTTTTGCAATTATTATACAGAGTTACAGAGATTTATAATATAATGAGTAGATCAATAACTAAGCTCACACACACACAATGTAAAAGCAGACGAGGAGTCACAATAACGTGGCTGAAATATGTTGACCAAACCACACGCTAGAAAGTGAAGGGACGACGACGTTTCGGTCCGTCCTGGATCATTCTCAAGTCGAAACGTCGACGTCCCTTCACTTACTAGTGTGTTGTTTGGTCAACACAATGTAAAAAGACTTTGTACAAGATGGCGGCCAGGACTCTATCCGTTTCTCCCTCTTCATCACTCCCAGGCTCTCTCTCTTCCATTCTTCCTCACTCTCTCCCACTCCCCCCTTTTTCTATGCTCACCCCGCCCTCAAATTCTGCCATTCTCCCTCCATCCCTCTTTTCTTCCTTACCTCACTGTCTCCTGCCCCTCCCTTTCTCGCAGTCTCCCGCCCATTCTCTCCCTTTCTCCCTCCTTTAACCTTTTTATTGGCCCAATGGCTCAAACATGCTCGAGTAATGGTGAATCATCATTGTCGATGATAAATCAACGTTGAATCGACGTTAGTGAATTGAATGAACGTTGTCGATGTTGAATTAGCGTTATTGACGTTCATTTAACGTTATCAACGTTAAATTAACATTATCAAAGCTAAATTAACGTTATCGACGTTGAATTAATGTTATCGATGTTGAATCAAAGGTTATAACAGTCGAGTTGGAAATAGATAAAGTGTTTTCCAAATAGTTGGAAAACACTTTAGATAACCATAACCACTTTTCAGACCCCATAGGACTTGTTGGTTGTCGTAATACAACCGATTCCACCTTAAACAGGACATGGGGTGAACCCACACCACCCATGATACTATCCTTGCAGCGCTTGGTGCGGCTAGCCTCAAGTGTCTGGCCTCTAAACTCGAATAAACATACAAACAGACATTCTTATAAATATACATAAAGAAATACATGTTTGAAGGTGAAGAGAATGAAATAAAGGATACACACACATAACATGTGCCATAATCAGGAAGAGTATTGACAACTAAACGACTTAAAATCCCCTGGTGTGGATGGAATTAAATCCAAAGTCGTAAAGGCAGATGAACTATGCCTGTCACTGAAACTCCATTTTATATATTCTCTGGACAAATGGATAGTTCCCGCTGTTTGGAAATAGGCAAATTTCACACCAATTTTATAAAAAGACAAAGAGCTCAACTGAAAACTACCGTCCGATCAGTTTGACCTCACACATCTGCAAGCTCATGGATGGAATCCTAAGGAAGGGAATCACTCACCATCTTTCAGTGAACAATCTTGTTAAATCGACGTAACATAGGTTAGTTAAAAATAGATCCTGCCTATTAAATCTGCTCACTTTATGGAAATGGTAACCAGCTACTCAGATGGGAGTATACATGGTATACATGGACTTTGCTGAAGCTTTTTATAAAGTACTACATGAAAGACTTGCAAGGAAATTACTGGCTCATGGAGTAAAGATTAGACCACAACAATGGATAAAACAATGGTTAAAACAAAGAAAACAAAAGGTCATACTAAACGGAAATGAATCTGACTGGAGGAATGTGGTGAGTGGGAAACTGCAATTGTCCATTTTGGGGTCAACCCGCTTTGTCATATACATCAATGACATTGACGGGAATCAGAACCTACATCCTCAGAACTGTAATTGAGATTAAGATTTGTAGTAAAGTGATAAGTGAAAGTGATACTGAGTTCTTACAAAGATACAAAGAGAGCTACGTGAACTCCAGAAGTAATCAGAAGACTGGAAAATGCTTTTTGAGATTGCAAAATGCAGGACCTTTAGGAGGCCCCATCTTCAGAGAGACATAGCTGCTTTGAAGAAAGTTAAACACCGGCAACAAAAATCCTTCCAGAACTGAGTCGACGCCCATACCACGAACTGTTGAATGCCACAGGGCTAACAACAGTGGAAAACATACATAACAGGGCGGATCTCATTGAACCTTTTAAAATATTAAATAATTAGGAGGAGATTGATGCAGACAATTGCTTGACAAGGTCAGATGTAATACAAGAAAGGAACAATGGTTTCAGGATCAACAAGCCACAATGTAGGATGTAAAACAGGAGATGCTTTTTCACCCATGGGGTTATAAGCCGAGGGAACCCATGGTTGGCGCCTGACAGCTGAATGGACAGCGCTTCAGATTCGTAGTCCTGAGGTTCCCGGTTTAATCTCCGGTGGAAGCGGAAACAAATATGATCAGAGTTTCTTTCGCCCTGATGCACCTGTTCACCTAGCGGTAAATAGATACCTGAGAGTTAAACAGCTGCTGCGGGCTGCTTTCTGGGGGTGTGTAACATAAAAAAGGAGGCCTGGTCTAGGACCGGATCGCGGGGACGCTAAGCCCCGAAACCATCTCAAGATAACCTACTACCCGTCGAAGCCATGAACACCAAATCACTGGTAAATTTCTAAACCCAGCTTGAAAAATCATCAAGCAAATAGGGGACTTTTGACAAGCCTTTGACTTCCTGTCCTCGTCGAGGCCACTGGAGTGTTAGTGACACTCAGGTAAACTATTGCCTAAAAACCACAATGAAAGGTGAGGACTGTTAAAGGGCTCTCAACCTGTCAGGGCCGTCTTCAGAAGCAAGACTGACAGAATAAAGGAATGGGGAAGAGATATATGGAGTGGCAGCATAGGCTCTGGAAGAGAAGAAGTAACTGAGGGGTGGGAAGGGTGGCGCTGAGAACAAAAGTTCCTGATTGGTAATCCCACCAGGTTACTGGTGGAAATGCCAGATGGGGAGATAAGGCAGTGATGGATGCAGGAAACATAAACAATAAAACAAGTTGTACGAAACTACAAGGCTCCGTTCGTTTAAAGTCGCATTCAAGAACACGTGGAAAACAACCCACATATCTTTTTATGGTACACTAAAATATTTAATTTTACAATAACTACCGTTACCACCCAATTTCATTACTTTACACTTTCCTGAGTTAAACTTTAGTAGTCTTTTTCTACACCATTCCTCCAGTTTGTTCAGGTCGTCTTGTAGTCTTTGTCTATCTTCACCTGTCTTGATTGTTCTCATAAGTTTTGCATCATCAGCAAACATTGAGAAGAACGAGTATACTCTGACGAGTATGAGTATACCCTGTATGTATGAGGGAGCCGGTCGGCCGAGCGGACAGAACACTGGACTTGTGATCCTGTGGTCCTTGGTTCGATCCCGGGCGCCGACGAGAAACAATGGGCAGAGTTTCTTTCACCCTATGCAACTGTTACCTAGCAGTAAAATAGGTACCTGGGTGTTAGTCAGCTGTCATGGGCTGCTTCCTGGGGGTGGAGGCCTGGTCGAGGACCGCGCCGCGGGAACACTAAAGCCCCGAAATCATCTCAAGATAACTTCAAGATAACCCTCTAGAAAATCGTTTACATATATAATTGAAACAGGATGGGTCCAAGTACAGAGACCCTGTGGGACTCCGCTGATGACATCTCGTCACTCTGATGTTGAACCCCCTCACAATTACTTGCTGTTTCCAGTTGCTTAGATACTTCCTTATCCACTGGAGCACATTATCTTTTTTCCTGCTAATTTCTTCAACTTTTGTAACAGCCTCTTATAGGGTATTGTATCAAAAGCTTTCTGACAGTGTAAGAAAATGCAGTCTGTCCACCCTTCTCTTTGTTGCCTGGTCTTAGAATTCTATTAAGTCTGTGAGGAACGATTTACCATCTCTGAACCGGAGCTGGTGGAGTTACAAAGCTCTTTCCCTCCAAATGTTCTACGGACCATTTACTCACGATGTTCTTCTCCATCACCTTCCATGGTATACAAGTTAGGGAAACTGGCCTGTAGTTTAGTGCCTCTTGCCTATCACCCTTTTTGTATATTGGGACTACAGCTTCCAGCCTTCCAGCTTTACGGAAGGTCTCCTGTCTCCAGAGACCTGTTTATAAACTATATAGTGGCACACTATGTGTATGCGCGCGCGCGTGTGTGTGTGTGTGTGTGTGTGTAATTACCAAAGTGCCTAATTGTGCTTACCTAATTGTGCTTGCGGGGGTTGAGCTCTGGCTCTTTGGTCCCTCCTCTCAACCGTCAATCAACAGGTGTACAGATTCCTGAGCCTATCGGGCTTTATCATATCTACACTTGAAACTGTGTATGGAGTCAGCCTCCACCACATCACTTCCTAATGCATTCCATTTGTCAACCACTCTGACACTAAAAAAGTTCTTTCTAATATCTCTGTGGCTCATTTGGGCACTCAGTTTCCACCTGTGTCCCCTTGTGCGTGTTCCCCTTGTGCGTGTTCCCCTTGTGTTAAATAGACTGTCTTTTCTACCTTATCAATTCCCTTCAGAATCTTGAATGTGGTGATCATGTCCCCCCTAACTCTTCTGTCTTCCAGCGAAGTGAGGTTTAATTCCCGTAGTCTCTCCTCGTAGCTCATACCTCTCAGCTCGGGTACTAGTCTGGTGGCAAACCTTTGAACCTTTTCCAGTTTAGTCTTATCCTTGACTAGATATGGACTCCATGCTGGGGCTGCATACTCCAGGATTGGCCTGACATATGTGGTATACAAAGTTCTGAATGATTCTTTACACAAGTTTCTGAATGCCGTT